TAGAGTTCAGATCCTCAACTGCAGACGAGCCATGTCCTGACTGGCTGGCAAGTTGGGGAGATAGGCTTCCGCTTGGTAAGACACTGTCTGTCTCATGAAGGGAATAATTGTTTTTTTACACTTTTGCCATAGGGCACGTGCACTCATAGGAGTGGGGAGGGTAGAGGGAAAGCGAGAAATCACCCCCCGTAAGGGATGCCCAATCCCTTCTACTCTTGAAATTTTGGGCACACATACACATGTGCCTGGTGTGTTTTTAAAGCCTCCCATCTGGAGTCAACTATGTGGGGTCCAGCACCTTAACCTATACCACCTACTGGTCCAATAAATACTTTTAAAAAATGGTGGAAAATGGCCACATACAATGTAGGGGTGAAAGAAAGGTATTAGTAGTTCCAAGTTATAAATAGAACTTAAGCTCATGCTCTTATGTGCTTATCTCTTCTATAGTACTCTTTCTAACTGTGGGATCTAATACAATAAATTAGCCCACAGATATAAAAATTTGTTTCTGTCAATTAATAATCTACTGGTTGAGAGACCAGCTGATGGCATAATGGTTTTGTCACTGGACTCCCACATGGCCAACCATAGATCGAGTCTTGGACCTGGTGTCTTAAAGCTCATGCGGGGTGTGTGTGTGTGCATGCCCGAAATCCCAAGAGGAGAATGGAGGAGAAGGGATTGTGGTGTGGCTATCCCCCCTGGGGGGTGATCTCTCATTTTCTGTCTCTCTGTTTCACCAGTGAGCATATGTGCCATATAGCAAAAATCTCTGTAAAATAAATAAATAATCTATTGATTGAATACCGAACAAAGTGCTAAAAAAGACAGCAAGAGATAGATGGATCAGGGTTTCCAAATACCAAAGAATGGAATGATCTGCACAATGATATTTTAAATCAACCAATTCCCAGGGGAATCAGGTTCCCAGGTGCAGAGATCAAGCCAACCTGAGAAGTGCTACAGAACTCTGAATAGGGTGAAGGTTCTTTGCGTAAGTTCCCTCTACTGGCTCACCGGGAGAGCCATGGAACAATATACTACATTTATTTCACTTATACACTTATAATAGAGGAGTAAAGGAAGTGGAGACAAGGAAGTGATTATAATCATGAACTCCTTATGTCCAGGTTTTATTCCTTTTCTTTTCTCTCTCAGTCAATTTAGCTCTTCAGTATTGCCAAGAAGAGAGAAAGGTAGAATGAATAAAATCTATCGAGCCTATGGAAATGAGAAAACAACATTAATGAAGATGGAGATAATTATCTAATGAACTGGAGTATCTATGGGTGTCATTTAATAAATTTCAAACAGGAAAGTAGGTTTATTGCACAAACTATAGAGAGGTAAGCTTGTTATCCACCCCAGGTTAAACCTGAAGGATGGAACATTTGTGAGCACTTGGAATAAAGGAGTAACACACATGCTTAAAGAAACAGATTCACCCTGTATAAGTCAAGTCATAGCCGCCATGTGGCAGGCCTGGATGTCTGGAATTCAGTTACTAGCCACATATTAAACTACCAGTTCTGAATGAACAGACCCGTGAAACTTATTATTCAAGTATTATTAGCTATTTCCAATTATTTGTCTGGTTTTACTGTGGCCTAATGATAGTTTCTCATTCTGCTTTTCAGCTTGATGTCTAATATTTCAGACACTCACGCTGTTTCTCTGAACCTGTACCTTCTAAAAGTAGGTGCTATCACCTTTTCAATCAAGAATTCTACTTGGCAATTAACATTAGGATATTGAGACATTTACTCAGTAATTCGTTTTCATCTCATTCATTCTGAATATCCAAAATGAAAAGGTATTACTTACAATTCAAAAGCTTCAACTCTTTGCTTCAGCTCAGCTTCTCTACCCCTCAGCAAATCTATATCCTTCAGCAGAATTTGCCTTTGAGCATAAATTTCTTTTGTTTCAATCTGTATATGAAAAGCATTGATTTTTAGCAAGCCAGCTAAAGAAAATAAGACAAATTTGAACTAATATACTGCTTCCTAAATTCCAGACAACAAAGTACAGACATTTAGAGTAACAATTTCACGTTCAAGAGATTCCACTTCAAGGCACATAAAAATATACACCCTTGCACAAAAAACTTATTTCCCCAATGATTGTTAAATTACATTACCTTGTATTCCTACACCTCTTGTCTAATTATTTTACTCAGTTCTTTCACACCTTATAGTTCCTTACTTAAAACTTTAAGTTCTTCAGCAAGAAAAAAATAATATGCATTCAGTAATGAAACTCCAAAAGAATAGAATCCCCATGGTTCTGGAGGTGGTGGTGTCTGGATGTTTCACTTCATGATATAGCAGTAACAAAACATGTTACAAGGCTGACCCACGTGGAAAGGTTCTGTCATCTCTCTGAACATGCCGGTTGCATGTATGCCCATAATCTGGCTGAACTGGGGGGTGGCTGCAGTATGAAGACCTTTGGAGGTGCCTGTCTGTCTCTCTCGCTCATGGGAGAAACTTTAGAAAAAGAAAAGAAAAAGACAGACATAGTCCTCATCTTTAAGGATCTCACAATTTAGTGAGGGAGAGGAAAAACAATCACACTAGGATGTGATGGTTTTCACAGTCAAAATACACGAAAACTACATGCAAGAACAAGGCCTATACAAGTCACTCAGTGGAAGTCAAGAAAGGTATCAACAAGGTCACATTCAAGCTGGTTTTATCAAGGAGAGAAAGGGACAGGCATTCCAAGAGAAGGATAAAGGTATAGTGGTGCTTTTTATGAGGATGACAATCTTTAAAGCCTTCAGATAACCAGTTAATAGGGATCTAGTGTCACCTGTCTGAAGATGAAGTTGTTAGTCTAAACAATCACCTCCAACATTTTGCGGAGATCTGTGAATCCAACATTTTTATAGCAGAAACGAGCCCAATTCCCAGCGGTTATACAAACCTATACAGGGGGTGCACTTAGCGTTAAATAGCTAGGTCTTACTGAGAAGCCCTAAGTGGACACTAGGAAGCTCTTCTACTTTAAACACCTGACTGTAGTAGTTCTGGGAGTATGTCAGAAGCTGCTGCAAATCCGGGCTGTTCTAAGACAGGCCCTTGGGAAAGGAACAGGTTTTTCCTAAAGGAACAGACCCAATCCCTACTGTAGACATCTACTCTGTGCTGCTCCTTGACCTCTTCATTGCTGGTCCAGTCACCTTCCTAGGTGCCAAGTTCAAACGGCCAAGTGGGTGACCCTTGTAGCCCTGGACTCCTCTACTCCAGGGACCTCATCTCTGCTCATGTCTCTGGCTTGTTATAGAAATTGTACATTGCACTGTTTCCAGGTTATGCCTGGAAGCTCTCCCTGTGACTCTGCACTCTTGGTTTATCCTTATTCTCCCACCAGCCAGTCACTCTAGATCAATTCCATGATGACTTCGAGATGACCACAGAGCCCTCCCTTTCGCCTAGGTTAGGAACCACCCAGTCTCTCCTCTAGTTCCCTTCACACCCAGCAGAACCCCAGGGTCTTTAACTACATAAACTGCCTTTCTATTTAAAAAAAATAATTATTTAACTTTGTTATTATTTTTTAATTTGACCAGAGAGAGAAAAAGGGATGAGAAAGCAAGCTGCCAGGTCTGGGACTAGAACCATGTGAGAGTCTGGCACCTTAACCACTGCAGCACCTGCAGACTCCTTGGCTGCCTTTCTGAAGTCAAATCAATTAAGCTCTGCAAAGTTTCACTCCCCAAGCACCTCTCTCTCTCCACCTTCATCGAAACGGAAGATAGAGATACTTCTGAACTGCAAATCCTCTTGAGAGGTGGAACAGAAAATTCACTTAAGAGCACTAGTTTGGTCTTGACCCCCTCAATGTGGCTTGCCCAATCCTCTCTGCTTTAGAGAACTGCTCTTCCCTTGCCCACAAACAGCTTTTCCACCTCAAGTGTCTCCTCAACCCTGCCCCCTAACCCTCAAATCTGCCAGAAAACACGGAACTTATTCAGTGTGTCTCCTGATTCCAAAGTGGACACGCACCTCCTTGGTTCTTTCCTTTCCACCAGTCTTGGAGGAAGTCCACATATCCATTCAAGGCCACACTTCTATTTGTACTCTTGGCCCCAGTCCCTACTGCTCCTCTAGGATCTTATTCCATCAACTGACACATCTTATTCTTGGAGCTTGAGCCAATCTACTAACAGCTGCAGGAAATAGCCACTCAGTAAACTATTTTTAAATGTTACCTCCTGGTGCTTGTGAAGTCTCTCAAGGGTTTCCTTTTCCCGAGAAATAAGGGCTTCAGATTTTGCTTGACAAACTTTCTCAAACTCAGTCCGGAACTCAGCTAATTCTTTCTCATACTTTCTTTTCTCTTCCATTTTAATTTTTGCTATTTCAGTATCTTTAAAATACTTCAACTGCAAATCAAAAAAATGAAAATAATAGTTACTATACTAAAGAAATAGTAATTATCACTCTGTGCCTTAACCACTGCAGCACCTGCAGACTCCTTGGCTGCCTTTCTGAAGTCAAATCAATTAAGCTCTGCAAAGTTTCACTCCCCAAGCACCTCTCTCTCTCCACCTTCATCGAAACGGAAGATAGAGATACTTCTGAACTGCAAATCCTCTTGAGAGGTGGAACAGAAAATTCACTTAAGAGCACTAGTTTGGTCTTGACCCCCTCAATGTGGCTTGCCCAATCCTCTCTGCTTTAGAGAACTGCTCTTCCCTTGCCCACAAACAGCTTTTCCACCTCAAGTGTCTCCTCAACCCTGCCCCCTAACCCTCAAATCTGCCAGAAAACACGGAACTTATTCAGTGTGTCTCCTGATTCCAAAGTGGACACGCACCTCCTTGGTTCTTTCCTTTCCACCAGTCTTGGAGGAAGTCCACATATCCATTCAAGGCCACACTTCTATTTGTACTCTTGGCCCCAGTCCCTACTGCTCCTCTAGGATCTTATTCCATCAACTGACACATCTTATTCTTGGAGCTTGAGCCAATCTACTAACAGCTGCAGGAAATAGCCACTCAGTAAACTATTTTTAAATGTTACCTCCTGGTGCTTGTGAAGTCTCTCAAGGGTTTCCTTTTCCCGAGAAATAAGGGCTTCAGATTTTGCTTGACAAACTTTCTCAAACTCAGTCCGGAACTCAGCTAATTCTTTCTCATACTTTCTTTTCTCTTCCATTTTAATTTTTGCTATTTCAGTATCTTTAAAATACTTCAACTGCAAATCAAAAAAATGAAAATAATAGTTACTATACTAAAGAAATAGAAATTATCACTCTGTGGCTAGGTTTAATATTAATGCTCTGTCCAAACAGATATTTAATTCCCCTTTAGTTTCACCTCATTCCCTGTGCCTGCAGGATTCATTCAAAAGGCATCAACACTTGGCATCAATTAAAATAAAAGTAACATGCACAACAGCATAGTATTGCCCCCTTTTTAAAAAATTTGCTAGGGGACACGTGCACTCGCTGAAAAGAGAGAGAAAAGGAAAGTGGGAAAAGCCCCCTGGGGATGGCCACACCACAATCCTTTTTCCTCTACTCTCCTCTCAGGATTTTGGGCATGCACATGCCCAGCATGTTTTTCAAGCCACCAGGTCCAGGACTTGAACTGCACAGCCAACTACATGAGATCCGACTGCCTTAACAACCATGCCACTGGCTGGCTCTAGTATCCCATTCTTTAAAAATGGTTCTAGATATTCTCCCATATCCCTAAGATGAAGACATTAGAAAACAAGCAAAAATATCACTTTTGTTAAGAGCAACAAAATAAAGCTTACCTTTTGACACATTTCTGCCTGAAGCTGCTGTTCTATTGCTCTCTTATGTTCATTTAACTTTATTTCTAAAGACTCTAACTTTGGACGCTGAGGGTAAGCATCTGCAAACTGATCATCAATAAGCCGAAGCTTGTCAGCTATTAAAAAATAACACATCAAATTAGGATATTATACATGGTCAGTTGCCCAGAAAGTCAAACATCTGTGCAAAATTAAAAAGTATACTTGGGAGAAAGTGTAGGGATATCTGTGATTTATGCCAATATACTCTGAAACATTGACATGAATTAATGGGTGGACAGATAAGTGATGAGAAAAGCATAATTCAAATTTAATGACAGAATTTAGGTGGTGGATATACAAGTGTTTACTGTAAAATCATTTCAACTTTCCTGTAGGTTTGAAAAATCTTCATAATAAAATGTTGGAGGAAAAACAAGCAAATACAGCTGAAGTCTGAAAACACTGATGTCTTTTTCCAGTCACTAATACCAAGGCAGAGAACTCTTTTTATTGGACTCTGATTCAAGTAGACATATACATTCAAGATTATGACTTCAGAAGAATCAAAGATCATGTACTTCAATTCTTACTTCACAGGTAAGGAACAAATGCTCAGTTAAAGTGACTTCCAGAAGGTTAAGCAACTACAATAGCAAAACTGGGAATAACGAAGTCTACTGCCTCTTGCTCATGCAAGTGCTCCTGCTAGGAGGCCAGTGACTCTTAAACCGTGGATCAGAATCAACCATGTAGAAGAGTGCAAACCAGCACCTACAGTATAATCTCAACCAACCAAGACCCACCAAGAAAGTATGTGCAAAAGAAAAAAGGCTGGCAGTGTTTGGCTCTGGTCAGCATAACAATAGGTTTTTCCAGCTACTTTTTTGTATTTTCAGAAGACTCTGTAACTGCTGGCTAGGACTGGACTCTCTAGCTACATGTGGGCACTTGAAACGTGGCCTATCCAGATGGAGATGTGCTGAGACCAGCAAATGGCGTAATGTTGTAATAATATACTGGCTATATTGGGTTAAGTAAAATAAATTAAATTAAACCCATTTATTTTTACCTTTTTAAAATGACTACTAGAAAATTTTTAATTATGGATGAGGCTCGTGCAATGGATAGCACTGCTGTATAATAAACAGTGTAATGTTTCTAATTAAATTAAACCTATGCTTAAAGGCCTAGTTACACAATATATTTTGTACAAATTATAAACTTCTTAATCTTATGAGTTATAGTCACTGGACTCCCACATGGTCGACTATGGTTCGAGTCCTGGACCTAGAGGTTTGAAATTCAAGCTGGGTGTGTCTGTGTGCCCAAAATCCCAAGAGGAGAAGGGACTGCAGCATGGCCATCCCCCTGGGGAGTGTTTTCTCACTTTCTGTCTGTCTCTCCAGTGAGCATACGTACCCTATGCCAAAAATATCTCTAAAAAAATAACCAAAACAGGGACCAGCAGTTAGCGTAATGGCTATGTCGCTGGACTCCCACATAGTCGACCGCGGTTCGAGTCCCGGACCCAGCGGCTTAAAACTCACACCGGGCGCGTGTGCGCGTGTATCCCAGATCCCGAGAGGAGAATGGAAGAGAAGGGACTGCGGCGTGACCATCCCCCCTGGGGAGTGATTTCTTGCTTTCTGTCTCTCTATCGCTCTCTGTCTGGCGAGCGCAGGCGCCCTATGGCAAAAACCTCTCCAAAAAAAGAAAAACAAAACAAAACAAAACAAATGGAGATGTGTTCTAAGTATAAAAGACATAAAAAAACTTCAAACACAAAAAAATTATTATATAAGATATAATAAAATCTTATTTTTTTAAATACTATTGGGCTGTCAGGAAAGTCATGACACATTTTTGTACAGAAAAGCAGAAAAACATGTCGTGACTTTCCCAACCACCTAATAAATACATATTGCAATAATATACTGGCTATATTGGGTTAAATAAAATACATTAAATTAAACCCATTTATTTTTACCTTTTTAAAATGACTACTAGAAAATTTTAAATTATGGATGAGGCTCGTGCATTGGATAGCACTGCTGTATAATAAGCAGTGTAACATTTCTAATTAAGTTAAACTTACACTTAAAGGCCTAGTTACACAATATATTTTGTACAAATTATAAACTTCTTAATCTTATGAGTTAAAAAACACTACTACTATTAAACAGTAAGGAAGGGCCAAGAAATTGTCAAAGTCCACCATTTGAAACAGGGGTTTCTCATGGCTACTGGGCAGAGACCCACCAAGCAGAGTGTTACTACAGAAAGGCTGTGGATCGCACATAGCTCCAGACCACAGACCAGGCAACATGGATTCAAGCAGTGGGTCTCATCCAGATTGGGTGTTTCCAAGTTGCTCTTCCTCTGAGGACCTCAGCTTCCTTAACTTAAAATGAAGTGATGACAGATCAGCAGATGGCATAATGGTTATGTCGTGGAACTCCTACGTAGTCCACTGTGGTTCAAATCCCGGGTCCAGCAACTTAAAACTCACACCGGGAGTGTGTGCATGTGGTGCACAAGATCCCAAGAGGAGAAGGGACTGCGGCATGGCCATTCGCCCTGGGAGGCAATTTCCCGCTTTCTGTCTCTGTCTGGCTGGTAATCACACATGCCCTACAGAAAAAAAATCTCTCTTAAAGAAAAAAAAAAAAAAAAAAGAAGTGATGAGCCAAAGACTTCTCTAGCTTGCTGTGAAGCAAACAGTCTATGATCTTTGAACTTAGTGGCTATAAACTAAACTTAGACAAGACATGAGGAAGAACCTTCCAATAAGAGAGGCTGAATCCAACAAATGATGAATAATATGAGCCTTTGGATCCCTGCTTGATCTGTTCAATGCAGCCCTGGCAGAGAACAGTAGAGATCAATTCCTTGTCCCTTTTAGGAACACAGTTCCAAAAGAAATGAATTTCCCTTCCACCTGCAGGTTGTACCCTTCTAGTTCAAAGAACACTTACACAGAAAGATAAATGGGCAATTTCTTTCATTTGAAAAGAAACAGCCAAACTGAAATGAAGAAAAAAGGCTATAATTACCAAGGGAGTTCTTGCTAGGGAATGCTGGACTTGTCTGAGTTTCCATATCACAGCTCTCTTTAGCCTGATGATATTCTGCCAGTTCTTTTAAGAAAAGCATAAGAAAGCCTAAAAAATACAGTATATACAGTTTTGTTTCAGGACGTTCTTCCATTCAACCATTGTTCAGTCACTATTTATACAATCTTAGTTTTATAACATTATCATTATCATTTTTTTAACATTATCATTTTTTCACACCAAATATCCTTTAAGAGTAATTCTGGAGAAAAGGTCTTTCCACCAAGTATGATATAAAACCTAAAGGAATAAGGAGGAATTTTTAACAACAACAACCAAAAAAAAAAACCCCTAAAAACCAGGGGCTAGCAGGCGCTATGGTGGTTAAGGTGCTGTACCCCATATGGCCAACTGCAATTTAAGTTCCAGACCCAGAAGATTGAAAATCACACTGGGTGCATGTGTGTGCATGCCCAAAATCCCAAGAGAAGAGTGGAGGAGAAGGGATTGCAGTGTAGCCATCACTCCTGGGGGTGGGGGTGACCTCTCACTTTCTCTCTGTTTCTCTCTCCATCAAGTGCACACACCCTATTGCAAAAACCTAAAAAAAACTATTATATGACAAGAAACAAAGATGTCTGTTGCGATCTTTTGCCCATTTCTTTTAGTTGGGTTGTCTTTTCAGTGTTGAGTTTTAGGAGTTCTTTGAATATTTTAGATACAAGTTCTTTATCAGATAGGTGTTTTGTAAAGGTTTTCTCCTAGTCTTTAATCTGTCTTTTCATTCTTTTAACAGTGTCTTTCACAGAGATATTAATAATAAAATCTAACTTATCTCATCCCCAATATATCATCTTGAAACCCAAGATCACATAGATATTCTCCTATTTTCATCTAGAAATTTTATAGTTTTGCATTTTACATTTAGGTCTATGGTTCATTTGAGCTAGTATTTGTGAAAGCTTCAAGGTCTGTATTTGGGTTCACCTCTGTGCCTATGAATGTCCAACTCAGCAACATTTGTTGGAAAAAAAACATCCTTCTTCTATTTAACTGTTTGTACCTTTATAAAAAAAATCAGTTGACTATATTTGTGTCAATCCATTTCTGGACTTTCTAATTCTCTCCCACTGATCTACATGTCTATTGTTTTGCCAAGTTAATGATTTCCATGTTCAGAAAGCAAAGGGTCAGTGTTCAAATTTTCTACCCTCATCCAAATTTTATGCCCATCAATTTCTAGGTAACATTATCTCTAAAAGGAAAATATTAGAGATGGGAAGAATAAGTGAGTAGAACCTAGGGAAAAAGTACTATGGCCATTCACAGCACTGCATCCCCAGAGTGTAAACACAGGAAGATAAGACCAGAGGTCTCTGAGTTGGGGACAGACAACAGTTAGATACAAAATATCTTCCTGTATGTTTTCTAATGGTCTGAATTTCTTAATAAGAAGTCATCAAGTTTTAAAATAATTTTATTTTAATGGTAATTGCTTTTTGTTAGCAAAGAGTTCTACCCAAGTTTTGGAACTTTGGTGCCTGACATGTCTGCTACTCATAGCTTTGACTTCCAGAAATACTGGGATGCTGGACAAAGCTGGTAAGGGCTGATGGCCAGATGTCTGAACCAGAAACATTTAAAGAGATTGTGTAAAGGCAAAAACTTAAGTTTAAGGATAGTATACCTACAGTCCATAGAGTATTTCTCATCCCTTCAAGCCCTAAATTTTCTTCTGAAATAAGAGTTAAGCAATAAATACTAGTTATATATATCTAGATTGGTACTGTCTAATATGCTGGCACTAGTCATGTGTGGCTAATTACATTTAAATGGAAAGTTTGCTTCCTTGGTCACACTACCACTTTCCAAGTGTTCAACTGCCACACGACG